TTGGAGGAACAGTGAATTTATTTTGGTCGGTATTCGCGATCAAGCCTCCTAGGCTCAGTCGGCGGACCAAAATGGTTGTAAAACTACGTTAGGTTAAAAACCGACCAAGATGATCCTTTTTTGGTCGCCAAATACGACTTTTACTATGAAATTGAAGAGTATAAGCCGCTGAGTCTAAACAGCAGTCGGTCTCGCATCGGATAATAATTCAACGCATTCAACTTTAGCCTTCTTATCGTTGTTTGGTATGTCTAAAATATATTTGAGGAAAAAAAATCAAGCATCACATGATGTAGAAAACTGTTGTACAACCGAAAAATCCCGCAGCGCCAGGGACTTACTTTTCAACCCGATAGGTCTTTAACCGACTATCTGTGAATGCATCAAGCCAAAAACCGACCTAATTTTGCGACTCGGGCAATGAACACGCAATTTTTTTATCTCGCCGCAGTCCCGAAAGACGCAGTATCGTCTCCTTTGTTGATGACCCCGAGTCAACCTATCTCCGCATTTTTATGTATAAAATACCGAGACCAGACAGACCGAACCTGAAGCTGAGATTCACCATTAAAGAAACGAAAAACGTGACACCGAGCTGAGATAAATTGTCTCATAGTCAGAATGGGAGGAGACAATACTGTGCACAGACATGTCTTTCAAGACTGAGACGAAACCAAAGATTCCCATTGAGACCAAGACGATCTCTCCAAAGTGAAAAGCTGTTCATCTCTCGTGTACACCTCTGATTTTACCTCCATTTTCGAGAATTTCAAGAGAAACAGAAATAATTAACACTCCGTTGGTCCCGCTATGAGCGCCGCGCCACACTTTTTCCGATTTTCTAAATTACACTGCAGTAAAGCCTCAGAAAATTTTGAAAAAAATTTGACATCTCATTTTGAATTATCTAGAAGCCCTACCAATGAAAATATCCACCAAAAATATTATAAGTAGTTGGATTTTCAAATTTTTATTCCGGAACTCCGGGTCGTGTACCGTGTATAAAGCGATTTTTCAGAAAACGTGGCAACTTTTGAGCATCAATATATAATTAAGGGTAACACTGAACATGAAAAATCTCACGAGACTTGTTCAAGTATACGCTCTACAATCTTGAGCGTATACTTGACCAGGTTCCGTGAGATCTAGAGTCTAGATCACTGTTGTTTGTTCAGAATTTTCCTAGATCTTTCAAATATATCATTATGTCGATTTATGCTGGTGTGGCTCGCCGCCTACGGCGCGACCAACGGAGTGTTAATGAAAAAAACATATGTACAAGTTTTTGGATAGCCGATTCTTCCAAAAGTAATTTTAAGGCAGTTATCGGGCACCTGAAAGACCCAGTTTTCCGACGTGTAATTTGAATGGAGATTGGCTATCCGGAAACAACCGAAAAGAGTTATTTTGCTCAACATTTTTTCTGAATTTTGGCAAGAATTGTGATTTTTAAAAGAACAGCATCGAATTGTTAGTGAAGAGGGAAGATAATTCGAGATGACTCAGCTCCTAGTTCAAGTTTCGAAATAATACTTTGAAAGGACGTAGTAAAATTCAGATCTCCTTTCAGATTCGATTTTCCTTTCATAAAATCGGTAGGGACCATGTCCCTCTATTAGACTCTGCGATATCTCGCAACAAAGGAAAATGGTGGGCAATCCAATTACTTCCTTTCACGTTTCATCGGACCAAATGACTATCGAGAATTTTAATAAACAATGAGCATCAGTGTTATGAGTTTTGCGTCATTCCAATTGACCTGGTGGAATGGTTCATTTGGTCAGTAGTTGACCTAGTGTTGAAGTGAAACTGAAAAACAATTTCCGTAAAAATAACAAAATATTCATAGGTGAATGATGGAAAGGAGAGACGTACTCGTGTACTCGAAGGTGGAAACTAGATTTGTTGGAGATTCTGTGCTGGCGCAGAGTGCAGTTTTTATTCAAAACAGTTGTTGAACTTTTTACAGTACTTTTCATAATACTTTGAAAAGACGAAGTAAAATTCAGATTTCTTTCCAGATTTGATTTTCCTCTAATAAAATCCGTAGGGACATGTCGCTGTCGTTATTAGACTCTGAGATATCTCGCAACAAATGAAAATGGTGGACAATCAAATTCAGTAGTGAAGTGGTAAAACGGTACAAGTTAATTTTAACTATTGGGCAGTTTTCAATCAATATCTTGAGATCTAAGGGAGATAGTCAAATTTTCGTTATAACCTTTTTTGTAGAGCCGATTGAGAGCGACAACAAATGTAATTACGGAAGTTTCGCTATCTCCCTTAGATTCGGAAATATTCCTCAAAAATTCAACTGGGAGATAAGTCGACTTAAACCGTTTTACCACTTCGCTACTGAATTACTTCATTTCACATTTCATCGGACCAAAAGACTATCGAGAATGTGAATAAACAACGAGCGTCATTAATGAACTCTCATATGACGTTATGAGTTACAGCAGACAATTCGCTTCCCAAGAGGATAAAAAAAAATGAATCATAGGGGGCAATTTTTCGTGATGACCGAGGAAAAATGGGATATTGGGGTGAATGAGAGGTATATTTTGACTCTCCACGGCCATTTAATCCCCTGAGGAATAGTCCGTCCATCACACCTTCTTTATTTATTTGCTCGATAGTCCATTTGGATTATACTGAATTGGAATCGTGACAGAAATGCCTCCTATATCGTCTCCTACCAATGAAAAAAAATGAATTTCTTTCGGACACGGTATGAAATAACCCACGACATCTTTAATGGGCAATTATTCTTCTCGAATGTAGCAGTGAAGTGGTAAAACGTAATAACGTGTATTCGCCATTTTGTTAAATATTCAATTATCTTGCCGACGAGTGGCTCCGTGTGACTCCAAATGCCAAGAGTGATTTTTTGTCGCAGGTCTACCCTAAACTTACTCGCTGCCAAGATTAATTCATAATAAACAAAACTATCGAAGTTGACGCATTACGTTTTAGTTCTAAAATAGATTTCATTCGGATTAAAAGGTTTGAGTCGTAAATTACAAGTGCCACATATTATCTGATGTAATAAATCTGAGTGAGTGGATTTCAATGCAAAAAAAATGAGAATTTTGTGTTAAGGATGTTTAAACTATCAAGTGGACAACTCAGCTGAAAAGAAACATAAAATTGTCCAAATAAATCATTCATGTTACAAATTATTTTTCTCATCAGTGTAGAAGTGTTATGGTCTACTTTTCCAGTCTCGAAAAGAATAATTAAAGAAAATGTTCATGAATAATGGAGGAGTTGTGACTGCGGTGCTAACTGTCGAATTTTGATCGGGCAACATCGCACGCTTCGGCTAGTAGTGGGGTTGTAACCGTGAGATGAATGTTTGTGTGTGTTATACGTGTCCATATGCTTCCAGCACTGAATTATCGTCACCGACTTTACCGACCTCGATCAGCTGTTGTGCGGTGTTGTCGCGTTGCTCGACTCGTAATAGCGGTCAAATTTTTTTTAGAGGAATTCGAAAATCAATCGAAGATATCACGCCTACAGGGCCCGGTCCCCTACTCGTTCTCGCCGACGATAGATTCTTCATAGTCTAAAGTAAATGGCTTGAGGTTTTTTGCAATATCTTGAGTGTTTAACCCCTGCAACATCTCGATCAAATTTCACACGGTCACGTTTCTTCCCTAAGCGTAAAGTTACAAGAAGTGATTTTCAGAAATTTATTTCTCAGTAGGATGCCCTGATGGAAGGATTAAGATTGTTACTAACGTGTGGCTCAAATATGAATCTGGCATATGAGATAATATCAAAATTATGGTGAAGAATGTGGTTTGGCTAAACATCTTGGATCATTTTCTTTTTTGATAGAGTGAACAATATCCATTTTGATTTTTCGATATTTTTCTGGAAAGGAGTCACTTTGACAAAGTAATGAAATAACTTGCAATTGAGGTAGGAGAAGGAATTAAGGATGTACTACACCCCTTTCGGCCAAAATTCACGTTTTTTTCATTTTTCTGATAAATTATTGATCGGATTGACGCAAAATAATATACCGTTTTTGTGTTTTACCATTATTGACTGACTCACGAAGTCTCATGGTAGTGCAATCATTTTCCTGCATTTTTTCGAAAGTTTTGTGAATTTCTGAAAAGTTTTAGAAAAAACGCAGGAAAATGACTGCACGATCATGAAATTTTGTGAGACATTAAGTAATGATAAAACGCAAGAACGGTATAGTTTTTCACGTAAATCCGATCAACAATTTACCAGAAAAGTTCAAAAAACGTGAATTTTGGCGAAAAGGGTGTAAATACATCCTTAAACGTGGAATTTTACACTTTTCTACGTTTTTAGGGGATTTCTGATGACGCGAGGTGGTGAAGTAAATGGAACCATGCTCAGTCGAAAGGACGGAATATTTCGGTCCGAAGTACATATTGAAAACTCGAAAATGTTTTTCTAACTCTTCCGAAACACAATTTCGTCAAAAGCTCAAAAATATAAAGGATTGATTTTTTGTACAAAAGATCGTTTAATGTCTTTAGGCTTTTTGAAATGTTGATAAACGTATATTTAAAAAACTCAATAAAACCGTACCGATAATTGGCGAAATCACCTATATAAGGAGAAAAAAGATGGTGAAAATTACCTCATGAACATGAAATTTCCTCAGCAATCCCTGGAAATTTTATTAGAAATCCCTAGAAATTTTACCCTAACAGCACTAGAATTTTTCATTCCCGTTCCCAGTACTAGGTTTTTTCTAAAGAATTTCTCTCCGTGCCCGATCACCTATCGTACCATAAAATTTGCCGCGATTTTCTAGGCAATCTTTATCCAACTGTTCTCTCCGTATTGAACGCTTTTAAAACAAAAAAAAAATTCAATGAAGCGAATATCCCAGGAAAGCTAGGGGGACAAGTAGTCTCCAATAATTGTCGAACGATGCACATCCGTCCCATGACATCCTCAATAAAAAAATCTGTACAATAATAATGACAATAAATCGTAAAACTCACCCAAACTTGGTGTTGTGTAGTCCCAACTCTCTGCATCATTCTTGTAAACATTAAGCTTAGTCGGCTGCAACAAAATATTCGAGTCATCGTAATCCATCCAAAATACGGGATAAATCATGTTTTATAGTGATATGAATCCAACGCGTACAATAAATGTCATCCACATATATTCATAAAATTGTCAACGCGGGAAAATCGTGAAACAGAGATGGAGAATTGCAGTCAACGATAAAATAGTATATACCCGTTTGATGTGTGATATAAAGAGAGGCGCACCGAGTGGCGGACAAATTGCCATGTGACACTCATGTGGTTTACGAAACGTGTGGGATGGATATTCGGTGGTGGATAAATTAAGGAATATTTGTCGTTCAAAAATCCCCCCCCCCCCCCAACATCTCTCTAAAATCATCTACAGCGCATTTTGAGTGGAATAAAACCAGTGGGAGGCCTGGAAGCCACCCTGTCACATCAATGTCAAGTCTCTAAAATACTTGTGTAACTGCAGCTATATCCGTTCCACATCTATAGCGATCGTTTTTCTATGCATATCGTTGGATCGCATAGTATTTTGTTGTTTGAGAGAGCTCACACCTTAAGGGGAGACTACTATGAGTTTTAAAAGTCGTGGGTTATTGGAGTGAGATTTTTCATACGTTGAAGATCGATTATATAGATCTGAAAACGAATAATTAGTGCAAAAAAAAATTTGTTTATTGTTCGTTTGCCCGAAAGGGTAACCCCTGAAGGGTGCCAAGTGAATTTGGCGATGACCTTGAAAATTGACATTCACCAACAAAGTTTTATTTTTTTAAATTAATAGTATTAGACAGATGGTGAACATCGGTGACAATTTCAAAATTTTAGAACTTATGGATATCGAGAAATTAAATAAACAAAATCAGTCTTATACACGGCCTCTTATGGAGTTTTGATTAAATTGAACGTTTCAACCCCCTAGGAACTCAAGAAAAAGTTGAAAAAATTTGAAGATATGGGGAATGATGTGTTCAATGTGATGGCGACAAAAAACAATGGGGTACCGGGGTGAATAAGAGAGATATTTCAACCCGCCGTACTCATTTGATCCCATGCTTTCTCGAGGTTCGTCACGCGAAATAGACGATTTTCCGCATTTATTTTCTCGATGTCTAGTTCCGGTTGCGGGTTTGAAATTTCGTCGGATGGATGAATACATATTTCTCCAATGATGGAGGGAAAGAAAAAAATTTTTTTGAGTCTTTTTTCAAATTCACTTGGCACCCTTAAAATGCTAAAAACAGTCCAGGGCCTCCAATTTTTGAGTTACAGAACATTTTTTTCTTCAAAATGTTCGGAAAAATGTGTGGAACAACAATTACGAGCCATTTTTTGGAATTCGATTCCTACACAGCTGATTTCGTTTTTTTTAATGTAAAAAAATTCATTATTTGTGTAAAAAAAATACGAAAAAAGCAAATTTAGCCATGTGAGAGGCGAATTAAAAAAAAACTAGCTCGTAATTGTTATTCCAAATATTTTTCCGAAAATTAAAAAAAAAAAAAATCCTTCGTAGCTCAAAAATTGGAGGCCTTGGACTGTTTTTTTGCATTTTAAGCGTTTTCGGGCAAACGAACAATAAAAAAATTTTTTTTTTGCACTAATTATTCGTTTTCAGATCTATATAATTGATCTTCAACGTATGAAAAGTCTCAATCCAATAACCCACGACTTCTAAAACTCACAGTAATCTCCCCTTAAGGGGAGACGGAACCCCTTTGTCTACATCAAATCTTAAAACTGTGCTTTCTCCTACAATTATTAATTCCTAACTACGAAATTACTTTATCGACTCGATTATCGCATTGTTGAGTCAATGAAGTAGTTTAATGAATAAAAAATAATAATTGCAGGAGAAAACACAATTCTAAAGATTCATATAAACGCAGGGATTCTGTTTCCTCTTAAGGGGTAACAGAAGGCCGCCGTTTCCTCGAAATTTTCAAACAAATTTCTTGCTCAAAGTTACTAATATTTTTCAAACTCAACGCACATTGATCTTCATCATCGCCTCCTGGAGATTAATGTGCTTTGATTTGTAAAAATCTCGATAACTTTCGGCAAGAATTTTTCCATTTGTTCGGAAATTTGGAAAATTATCGGTATTCTGTTATCCCTTACGGAATGTCGAACATTCCTGACAATATGAACTCCATCCCATAACAATAACACATAAATTACATAAATTACAATGAACAATGTTTAATTCAACTATTTGATTATTTATGACTCGACTAATGACCGTAATCCAAATGACAAAATTGTGTGTTACATTTCTTTTTTGTAAATGATTGAGTTTGTTCGAACTTTTTGAAACCGTATTTTGTTACATGAAATGTTGGAATTTTTAGTAAGATTCTGAATTCTGAACGTTTTTTTTATTTTACTGACTTTGAGACCCTTTTTCGGGTCCCATTCGACACTCTATCTAAGCATATGCATGCGGCTGTATTCTTCACTGTACCATACATTAAGAGAAAAAATTTCTTATGACAAAGATGATTTCCTTGATACAAGAAAATATTCTCTTGTGAATTTCTAGAATCGTGCAATCTCCTGATAAATGAGTTTGTGTTTACACTGAGAGAAAGAAGTCGTTCAACAGGATGAGATTCTTTCGTCCCCAGAGAATTTTTAAAGTGTTGACGTAAGTCTTCCCATAAATTAATATAGTTTGCGTTATATCTAGAATTTACAAAAGATCGTATGATTTAGGTGACTCTGGGCGATTTAAGTGACCAGCCGCGCATATTCTAATTCTAATTCTATATCTAGAATTTAATGGATTGTGAGAATTCATACTTTTCTGATCTGATCACTCATCATCTCCAACTGAGGAGGTCTTGTTTCGATTGCATGATGAACACTTTCATTATCAATTCAAGTACATAGAAAATTGATATCAAGTGTTGTGCTCTTCCTGCAAGATTTTATCAAAGTAATCAAAGTCCTGATGAAAAAAAAATTTCTAGCTCTAACGCAAACTACATTTACAATTTATGAAAAAGACATCATTTTTAGTCTTGAGAACGCTTAGAAATTCTCTCGAGACAAGAGAGTCTCATCCTGTTGGAAAACTTTTTTTCTTTCCGTCTGATAATGAAATTATTTATCGGGAGATTTTACGATGGTTCAAATTGACAAGAGAATATTTTCTTGTACCATGTAAACCTTTGTTCAAAGTTGTTTTATCCCTCAGTGTATTCATAGAAGTAGAGTAGGTAGTGTTTTCAGTGTGTACGTAGGAGTTGCATAGGAAACCACAGGAAACCCAGGCCGGTAGAGGCGGTTACTCTATTAGCAACCTCCCGCTGGCCGGAGCCTCAGGTTGAAAAATTCGGTTCCACTTGGGATCGAACTTCCAACCTTCCGCAAACTAGACTTCCGTCTAGCCAACTCGGTCACTGACGTCATTAAATTTGAAAAGTCTCCTTGCGATTTAAAAAAAAATTCTAGAGAGGACAATTAATTGTTTGGAAACTATCAATGAAAAAGGAGAAATCTTCAAAGCCTAGTCACTTCTCAATTCTCGACTGAACATTCTTCAAAAACCACATGGTGTTGTACAGTTTGATGAAGCTCACATTTGAAGAAATGTCGAACATACCTGGAAATATGAACTCCCATCCCCGTAACAATAACACATAAATTACACACTGATAGAACGGATTAGTTATTGTTAACGAATGGATTTTGGTTGGAGGTTAGGGTCTATTCGGTCCCACCACATGTCCATTCGTTAATAGTTAACGAATGTATATTTGAGGAGCCTTGTTTGCCTTGACTTTCGCCATTCAAGTGAACCATTTGTTAACTATTAACGAATATTCATTTGGTCATATTCAACTCTACCATTCGTTAATAGTTAACGAATCTCGTTTGGAATAAATGAATCATTCTATTAGTGCAGTGAGCAGTCTTCCAGTTCGCTATTCAATTCTTTATATCTCCACTAATAACCGCAATACAAATGACAAAATTACGTTTTTGCGATATCTGCCTCAAAAGTCCACTTTTCGAAACGGTTTAGTGTGCGTAAAGTAGTTGTTTTCCGCACGGCGTGTGTAAAGTTTACGACTGGGCGTACAGTAAATTCTCGTGCGTAAAGTTTCGCTTTAGGCACTCGAAATTCGCTTTACCCACGCTCTTAAACTTTACGCACTCGTTCACAAAAACAACTACACTACCCCCACTACCATTCCGAACAGTGAACTCGGCAGGTAACACAAAAAATAGGATGTGTTACACGTGCGTGTGAAAAAGTGGAACTTTACGCACTAGTAATACAATATACCATTGACATTTCTATTGCGTAAATAATTGAATTTTATCGAGCTTTTTGTTGTTTATGTTGCTACATACAATGTTTGCATTTCTGCCAAAATTCTCAATTTTGAACGTCTCCTTGCGATTTCCAAAAAATGATTTTCCGAGTGGGAAATTAACTGTTTGGTATTTTTCAATGAAAAAGGTGAAATCTTCAAAAATAGTCATTTCTCAATTTTCGACCAAGGGCGAAATAACGATTTGTTAAAAATCGGCAAGGGCAGAAAAATATGACGGTCATGTGAGTTATATTGCGTATTTTACTATCAACTGGCATATGACAAGAAACTAGTTAGATGTAACGTGACTCATAAATTTTTTTATATGATACGTGCGTGTAACCGCATGGGTTTCAGTTGACTATAGTCAACTGAAACCCGAAATAACGCATGACGCGCATGCGCATCACCTATTAAAAGAGAATAACAAGGAAGTCTAACCTCCGAATAGTGAATACATGGAATGACTGAAAAATGAAAAGGTGATTTTCGAAGCAGATAAAATGAGCCAAAATCGTATAATTCCTGATAGTGATGAAGAGTTAGGCAGTGAGGAGAATTTATTTACTGATGAGGAGGAGTTTATTGGTGATGTGACATTTGAAGAAAATGGAAATAAAATATTCTCCGATTTTTCAATTACGTTTTGTATCATATTTTTTTATAATTATAACTTTCTTTTTTTTGCGAATTCTTAATG